TTTCCTGGGGTGATTTTTTTTCAAACAATCCCTTTACCTTTTCCTTTGCTAAAGTTTTTCTTTTACTTCCTAAACTTTCTTAATTAGTTTCTTTCATTTGAAATTCTCAGAAACGCACTATTTCCCAAAATATATGTCACCTTAATAAAACCCAATTAAAAAACATCACTCAAACAAGTTTTCAAGGGGGTAGTCCATGAGCAACCCTGATCCACAATAGTGTGGTTTGTTTGGGGGTACACTTTTGTGTCCAGATGCTTCCTGGGGTGATTTTTTATCAAACATTCCCTTTACCTTTTCCTTTGCTAAAGTTTTTTTCTTTTATGGTATTTCTATGGTATTATTATTGGATTTCTATGGAATTCCTATGGGATTTCCATGATGTTTCTATGCTATTTCTGGAGGATTTCTATGGGATTTCTGAAGGGGTGCTATGGGAGTTCTATGGTATTCTTATGGGGTTTCCATTGGATTCCTGTGGGATTTCTATGGTATTTCTATTGGATCCTATGGAATTTCTATTGGATGCCTCTGGGATTTCCAAGGTATTTTCATGATGTTTCTGTGATATTTCTATGGGATTATTATTGGATTTCTCATGGGATTTCTTTGTGGTTCCTATGCTATTCCATGTTATTTCTATGATCTTTCTATGGGATTTCTGTGGGATTCCTATGGGATTTCCATGGTATTTCTATGATATTTCTTTGGGACTACTATTGGATTTCTATGGGATGTCGATTGAAAGTAAATTGACAGTAAATTGAAATCAATTGAAAGTAAATTAAAATCAATTGAAATCAATTGAAAGTAAATTGAAATCAATTGAAAGTAAATTGAAATCAATTGAAAGTAAATTGAAAGTAAATTGAAATCAATTGAAATCAATTGAAAGTAAATTGAAAGCAATTGAAAGTAAATTGAAATCAATTGAAACCAATTGAAAGTAAATTGCAATCAATTCAAAGTAAATTGAAATCAGTTCAAAGTAAATTGAAATCAATGGAAAGTAAATTGAAATCAATTCAAAGTAAATTGATACCAATTCAAAGTAAATTGAAATCAATCGAAAGTAAATTGAAATCAATTCAAAGTAAATTGAAATCAATTCAAAGTAAATTGAAATCAAGGGAAAAGGCGAAATAGGGAACCAGGGAAGGAAAGGAAATGTAAAAGATTTTTTGTTTGGAACGGGAAATAAAGGTGCGACAAAGTAATTTGAAATCAGTTCAAAGTAAATTGAAATCAATTGAAAGTAAATTGAAATCAATTGAAATCAAATTGAAATCAATTCAAAGTAAATTGAAACAATTCAAAGTAAATTGAAATCAATTGAAATCAAATTGAAATCAATTCAAAGTAAATTGAAATCAATTCAAAGTAAATTGAAACCAATTGAAAATAAATTGAAATCAATTGAAAGTAAAGTGAAATCAATTGAAATCAAATTGAAATCACTTCAAAGTAATTTGAAATAAATGGAAAATAAATTGAAAGTAAGTTGAAATCAATTGAAATCTATCAATTTTTTTGATTCCACGCTATTGCGTACCCGATCCTTTTTTTCCACACTATTGTGTATCCAAAATTTGTTTGGGGGGAGGGGGGGGGACGTACGAGGGAAAAACATGTACTATGTGGCGCGCGCAGTTTTCCTTGTAAAAAATCAGAATTTGTATAGCCTGAATGAATTTAGAATTCAACCGTAAAATTCAAAATTTTCCAAGCTCCAAATTTAGAATTTTTTGATTCCAATTCTAAAATTCTAAAAATTCTAAATTATTCCAACTTTTTTTAAATAATTTTTAGAAATCTAATCTAAAATTCTAAATTTTTCCAAGCTCAAAATTTAGTTTTCTCAGAATTTTGATAATCCAACTCTAAAATTATAAAAATTCTGAATTTTTCCAAGCTTAAAATTTTTAATTTTCAGAATTTTTAGAATTCAATTCTAAAATTTTCAAAAATTCCAAATTTTTCCAAGCTCAAAATTCAGGTTTTTTAGAATCCAATTCTAAAAATTTTAAAAATTCTCAATTTTTCCAAGCTCAAAATTTTGAATTTTATAATTTTTAGAATTCTTAGAATTCAAAGCTGGATTTGGGGAAGTTGATAGACTTTTGATAATTTTTCAGAATTGAATTCAAAACAATCTAAATTTTAAGCTTGGAAAAATTTAGAATTTTTAGAATTTTAGAATTGAATTTTAAAAATTCAAAAAAATCTAAAGTTTGAGTGTGGAAAAAATTAGAATTTTTAGAATTTTAGAATTGAATTCTAGAAATTCTAAATTTTGAGCTTGGAAAAAATTCGAATTTTTAGAATTTTAGAATTGAATTCTAAAATTATCAAAATTCTATAAATTCTAAATTAAAATTTGTTCAACTTCCCCAAATCCAGCTTTGAATTCTAAGAATTCTAAAAATTCTAAATTTGGAGCTTGGACAAATTTTCGAAGATTTAGAATTTTAGAATTGAATTCTAAAAATTTTCAAAAATTCTAAATTTTGAGCATGGAAAAAATAGATTTTTTTAAATTTTAGAATTGAATTTTAAAAATTCTACATTTTAAGCTTGGAAAAAATTCGAATTCTTAGAATTTTAGATTTGATTTCTAAAAATTCTAAAAAATCTAATTTTTGAGCTTGGAAAACTTTAGAATTTTTAGAATTTTAGAATTGGATTTTAAAATTTCTAAATTTTGAGCTTGGAACAATTTAGATTTTTTAGAATTTTAGAATTGAATTCTCAAAATTCTTATATTTCTAAATTTTAAGCTTGGTAAAATTTAGAATCTTTAGAATTTTTGAATTGAATTGTAAAAATAATAAAAATTCTAGAAATTCTAAAAAATCTAAATTAGAATTAGTTCAACTTCCCCAAATCCAGCTTTGAATTCTCAAAATTTTAAAAATTCTCCAAAAATTCTAAATTTTGAGCATAGACAAATTTAGATTTTTTAGAATTTTAGAATTGAAGTCTAAAAAATCTAAATTTTGAGCTTGGAAAAATTTAGACATTTTGGAATTTTAGAATTGAATTTTCAAAATTCTAAAAATTCTAAATTTTGAGCTTGGAAAAAATTAGAAAGCTCCAGGAACAGGTGACCCCTCAGGTACATCTCCTCCCGAAGCAGCCAACGACTGTTAAGCTGAAGTAAGAAGAAAGACAGAAGAAGGAGCAGGAACGGACAGAAGAAGAAGAGAGAGAAAGAATAGAGAAGAAGAAGAGAAAGAGAAGAAGAAAGAGAAGAAGAAGAATAGAATTTTTAGAAGAGAGAATTTTTAGAAGAAGAATAGGGAGAAGAGAAGATAGAAAGGAGAAGAAGAAAATTTTTAGAATTTTAGAATTGAATTTTAAAAATTCTAAATTTTAAGCTTGGAAAAATTTCGAATTTTTAGAATTAATTTTAGAATTGAATTCTAAAAAAACAAAAAAATCTAAATTTTGAGCTTGGACAAATTTAGAACTTTTAGAATTTTTGAATTCTAAATATTCTCAAGATTCTAAATTAGAATTAGTTCAACTTCCCCAAATCCAGCTTTGAATTCTCTAAATTCTAAAAATTCTAAATTTTAATTTTGAGCTTGGACAAATTTAGAACTTTTAGAATTTTTGAATTCTAAATATTCTCAAGATTCTAAATTAGAATTAGTTCAACTTCCCCAAATCCAGCTTTGAATTCTCTAAATTCTAAAAATTCTAAATTTTAAGCTTGGAAAAAATTAGAATTTTTAGATTTTTTTTGGAATTAAATTCAAAAAAATCTAAATTTTGAGCTTGGAAAAAAATAGAACTTTTTGGAAGTTTAGAAGTGCATCAAAAAAATAGAGGTTTTTGAATGGAAGTCCTTTGGAAGCTCGGCTGCTACCTATGAAGGGCAAGGCGATTGTCCAAAAGCACAACCACACAGGGAACTGAACCAGAACCAAACCGAAATTCTCTGGTGCCCTTCTCCTGCCGGACCCCGGGCGGCAGTGGGTGGCAGCAATTGATTATAATTGATATCCAACTTTCGCGAAACTTTCGCGGAAAAAAGTTACTTTCGCGAACTCGAAAAAAAAACCTTCGCGAGGGTTTCCAAAATAACATGCACGGCTTTCGCAATTAAACCTCTTTACGAGGACCTTTAGATCGATCACCATATAGTATACATATATAATTAATTTAAATATTTTTTTTCCTATTATCGAAGGAAGTTTAGAAGTCAAACTTCCGACAATATGGAGAGATGAAAAAGCAGTCAGCAGGGAGAAGAGTCAGAAGAGAAAAGATCAGAAGAAAGAAGATGCAGGTGCGCGAAAAGGTAGGAAAGCCGCGAAACACTGTGTTTTTTCGTGGTTTTGTGGCTCCGGAGGGTTGAAAACTAGGCTAAAGCGGCGGCTGCAGAGACATCTGGGGAGATGAGAGATGAAAAGTTGCACGCCGTTGTGGCGCGAAGCCGATTTCGAAGTGAAAAGGTACAAAACACCTCAGGATCGGACCACTTTTGGAAGTTGAGATGTTGAAAAAGTGCACGGCGTTGTGGCGCGAAGCACATTTGGAAGTAAAATGTGTTAAAAACTTAGGGGTTCGGAGCAGTTTTGGAAGTTGAGATGTTGAAAAAGTGCACGGCGTTGTGGCGCGAAGCACATTTGGAAGTAAAACGTGTTAAAAACTGAGGGTCTCGGAGCACTTTTGGAAGTTGAGATGTCGAAAAAGTGCACGCCGTTGTGGCGCGAAGCACATTTGGAAGTCAAAAGTGTTAAAAACTGGCGGTCTCGGAGCACTTTTGTAAGTTGAGATGTCGAAAAAGTGCATGGCGTTGTGGCGCGAAGCACATTTCGAAGTCAAAATCGCCACCAGCATTGGTGGGTAGCGCTCACAAAATTTGCTTACCCTATGTCCATTTTCATATCCTTGGCATTGTCGATGTTCGTGATTCTGCTGACAATACCGGTTCCTGAAAGTAGATTTTACCACTGGATGATTGGTCAAAAAGAAGGTCCGTTTCCGCACAG